TATTCGTCATCATCGTAGCCGTAGTCATCTTCGTAATCGTCGTAGTCGTCGTTATCGCTGTAGCTGTCATCACTGTAGCCGTCATCACTGCCGCCGTCGTCGCTACCGCCGTCGTCGCTACCGCCGTCGTCGCTATAGCCGTCATCGGGTTCCTGTTCATCGTAGCCGTGATCAGGGCCTTGATGATCGTAGCCGTGTTCGTCGAAGCCTCTGACCGGGACCTGATCGTATTCTCGCAGGTCTCGGCTAATACAATCAACGCTTGGTTGGTCCGATCGGTAGCTGTTGAAGCGTACAACCGGAGGCTGATCGTATTCTCGATGAACTTGGCTATCGCGATCAAAGTCAGGACCGTCAGGTCCGTAGCCCTCGAAGCTGTTGACCCGGCTTCGATCATATTCTGGCCAGTCTCGGCTGGCACGATCAAAGTCAGGTCCTTCAGCCTCGTAGCCCTCGAAGCTGTTGACCCGGCTTCGATCGTATTCTGGCCCGTCTCGGCTGGCACGATCGAAGTCAGGTCCTTCAGCCTCGTAGCCTTCGAAGCTAGGAACAGGATCTCGATCGTATCCTCGAGGCTCTTGGCTTTCGAACAGCCAAGAGTATTCTTCCTTTATCCTGCTATACCACTCAGCCAGATTGATGTCAGCAACGGAGCCTTGATCGTATCCCTGTGGATGACAGTTATCGCGATCAACGCCGGGTCGGTCAGGCCCGTGGCTTTCGAAGCTAGCGACAGGGCCTTGATCGTATTCCCGGGGATCTCGGCTATCACAATCAGGGTCAGGTCCGTCAGGTCCGAAGCCTTCGAATACGCTGACACAGGTCTGATCGTATTCTCGCGGATCGCGGCTGTTGCGATCAACGCTAGGTTCGTCAGACCGGTCAACTTCGAAGTCGGCAACGGAGCCTTGATCGTATTCCTGTTGATCTCGGCCGTCACGATCAACGTCAGGACCTTCAGGTCCGTAGCCTTCGAAGTTATCAACCGACTGTTGATCGTATTCGTGTGGCTGACGGCTATCGCGATCAA